CGAATGTTGACCCCTCAGACCTCAGATTTTCACGACATGAGTTAAATTCGTTACCAATGTCGACCAGATGAGGAGTGATACTGGAAGACTTTTAATTTGAGTTATCGTGTACTTCGGTTTGCTCAAGCGGAAGTGTTGACAGTCGTTTCAGGTAAGTAAGCCCAATCGCAACCAGCCACCGGTGAGAGTAAGAGGGCCTTCGCTGCGGAGCTACTTATTAGAAAATGCCAACTGAACAGTTACAGACTATTGGACAGGGAAGCAAAACTCTCATAGGCATCTTGTTTACAAAACTGAATACCCATCGTATCTTTGAACGCGTCTTCCTGAACTTTTCTGGATATTCATTGACTGTTACTCAATTGCAAGCAAATGCCACGAGGCGACTTCACAAATTCCGTCACAGACCACACTTTTCAAGAAATGCAAAGTGGACTTACGAGAAAACATGCTACTCACATGCCCCCTCATCAGTAATATCACAACTACACCGGTATCATGGGCGATCTCAACTTGATTCGCTATTCGGGGATAGGGGAATACCAAATGTGATCCATAGTTGATAACGGGGACTTGCATATTAAGGTGGTTTTTATGTCTAAACAAGGTATGTGCCGATTTTCGGTCGCGCATCTTTTTCGATTTTTCACCCGAAACCCCGACTTCCTGTTGCAAAGCCGGCCAGTATGCGTTTTTCAACTAAAGTCATTGAGGTCTAAACAACGAGGAAGTATTTGCCTCTGTAAACCATTCGAACCCAGCACTTACTACGTTCTAACAAATCCCAATCTAGCTTGCAAGAGTACCAATGTGTTAAGTACGTAACGTAATTATTTGTTTCCCTATTCCTCAGAGTAATTTATTACCCTTCCGGTGACTGCTCAAGTTTCAAGACTGAGTTATTCTATTTTATACAAAGCCTATTCTATTCTAACTACTTTTCTATAGTCCATTTGTTCGCATTCATTTCCGCGCTTTCTGTTTAACATTTGTCCCACTTTGAATTGAATATTTTTTCCCGTTTAATTTGTCCCACAGCACCCTGCCCTCTCTGTGCTATCCTGTGTTGCTAACTGCTTTAATGCTTTACAGGAAACATGCGTTTTAGGTGCTTTTCCGTTTTCTCATTACGTGCCTTTGACTTTCACTTCGCTTCGTAACTTTTGAGTCGCTCGAAGTAGAGTGGTCGAGTCCAATTAACTTGGTTTTAGGAACTTTTTCATGAATTCATATGCAGTGTATTAGTTACCAGCCAAACATTTATCCGAACGCACTGATAGTGAGATGTATGATACCTTGAAATAACTCACTCGTGGTTCTTTTCATGCTTTCGAAAACGGATACTTGTGGTATCGGCTTGAGAATTACATCGTTCACCAGAAGGGTAACTCACCTTGATCAATAAACTGACTAGAAAATGATGTGCAGTAACGCTCGCAAGCACAGGAATTCTCATCATTTTTTTTCAGGACTCGACAGTAGTTACGATAACATCGGTAGATGATTGAAGCCCGATTGAGAAGAGTACGACTAGATTCCAAAGACAAGATTTTTTTGGAACACAAATATATTTCGGACGTCAAACCAAGAGAACGCGTGAGAGTGCAGTGTACAAACCATTTGTTATTTGGAAACGGAAGAAGCGAAGAACCAGAGAAGTTGTTTCTTTAGTCTACAGTCGGCTTTGTAACTAACGTTTACAGAAGAGCATGTTAGGAAAAGTGGAAATAAACAGGTCGCAAACTCACCACAACACTCCATTTGGTAGATATCATTATCGGGAGAGTCCGTAGCAACGTAGAAACCGTTAGTATTGTCGAATTCGCAGGTACCGCGCCCTTCCTAAAAAGGGAATAAATTGGTCTTGATACTTTTGAGCAAGTCATATAGTTCGACAGAAAACATGTTACGCAGACTGGACCCAGTAGAGTAGAACTTATCTAGTGTTAATTCTCTGGACAGTCTATGCTCAGAGTAAACCAACTCGTGTAAAATTTCACTCGTACCTCAAATACCCTCTTTTGAAGGAAATGTGGTCAAAGATCAGTGGAGGTTTATCATGAAAACTGCATGCTGACTGACATAGACAAAACCAGTAGAATCCTAGGACAAGAACTTACATTCCATGTGAAAGCGAAGCAGCTTTGCACCAAGCTGCAGTACGCCTTGCAGGAGAGTATCTCAAGGCCTACCAACAAACCCAGTGCATTGCTGATGGCTGAATTATTCAGCCTCACCCACTTAAATTCGTTCCGAGAGCACTGTTTCCGAAAGTTGTGGTTCTTTGGAATATTTTCACACGAATATTGGGTTGGTGACACTGTCAGAGTGTAGATCAGGAATAGGAAAATGTGGTATGCCAAGTTGGCCAACTTCATTAGAATCGGGGGTTTTCAGCTCACGGAATGTCATCTTATGGGGATGGAAAAACAAATTTCATTGGGTGGTGATGTTAGCCACATTTGATTTGTCCGGATGAAGTAAAGGTTGTGCTTGGAACTGCGCATAGTCATAACCTTGTTTGATTGGTCATTTACGCAGTGACAGCCCTTTTCCAACTAGTTGGCGCATACTTATTTGGTTCTTCTCCAACTGAATGTCTGCACCAGACAGCCCCACATGACACTTGGTCCGATTCGCCATTTTCACTGGTTGTTCGTGAATACGGTCGTTCAAGTTTAGCGGAACCACACGATTGAAACAAAAGCTAGGAAGGAATTGGACAAACCGGTCCCAGAAAGCCGGGGGATACACGAAGGCTATTTCGGTTAATCCGCGCAAACGGATCCCGGTAATCACCCGCGAGCAAAATTACCGGGGGTCAAAGTGGCACACCGTCTTCGGTAATGGTGAACGCCCTGGCCATTGAACGGAGCACTTGCAACAACATTTTTCGCTGCCACTTGTTTTTATTCTACTGCTGAAAGATGAACCTGCAACACCATATGGCCTCGTAGCTTTATGGCTGAAAACGTTCGCTGAAGTGCCACCAAACTCCTGGTCCTGATGACCTCGGACCCAGATTATTCAAAAATGGGAATGAGGTCTCTAGTCAGCGCTTGTCTTATCTTTTTGCCTGTATTTGGGAAAAGGAGCCTGTCCCAGACCACTAGGAAGAATGTTCGATAGTACCATTTTCAAAAAAGAAGTTCGTAGTGGGTGCCGTTATCACAGGGGAGTCAGCTTGTCCCCTTTGTGACATTCCTGTTGGCGTGTCCTTTGTCGCCTAATGGTGATCCGTGAAACACTGACTTGACAGCAGCAACCAGCACTGCTGCGTGGTAGGAGTTGCGTTGACCAAATCTTTACACTCCGTAAAGTTACTAGAACAACGCCATACATACAAGCGACCCACCGTTTTCAAAGGTACACCTGACTCGATTGATCTGTCTGTCTTCTTAACACGCTTGACGGCAACAAGTGCCCCGAGAGTTTATGGAAATAATACGCTTTTTGTATTTTCAGACTTTCGGTTGTGTGAGGGGATGCGGAGTACCCTCCCAAAATTTCCGTACACAAAGTGGCGTCCTTCGAAGAGGCACATTTTCCCACTCGTTTTCACTTTCCAGACGAATGTCTCTAATCCAACAACTACAGAGCATGAGAGAATTTTTACTTGTAATGTACTAATCATAAGGTTGCTGAAAATCCATCGACAGCCCACGACCGGTTTCGCCCTTCTTGGGGCTCATCAGGTAGGCGCAGTCCCCGGGTTTCCGTCAACCTTATGTTCTACTTGAAACCAAATTGCATGAAATTAGCGAATATACACTCATCTACAAACTAATTTGGTTCTTTCGAGAGACTCACCTGGAACCCAGCTGAATCTCTCGTTTATGAAACATGAGGCGGCCTGGTGCAGCACATTCAGTTGCCTGAGAAGAACTTTTACTTGTTTATTTGACTGGTCAGATACACGCGCACCGTCAAAAACACACATAGGATGCATCCAACATTGTCATGCAAATGTGGGTTGGTGGTAGATTGGTGTTGTGATTTTGGACGATACGCGGTTAGATGTTTAGCACGGCTCTTCGTTGAAGGGCTGCCGAACTCTGGTCACACCAGACAACGGGTGTTTTATATCACGATCCTCGGGGCCAACCGAGCTGTGGACTTTGCATGCTTCAAACAACCACTCTGTCAAAGAGTACTACGGACTTCATAATCGTAATTTCTATCAATTTGTGAATACATCTGTGTATAAGTTGCCATCAATCTAGCGGAAACATGACAACTTCACGTTGTTATATTGACGGTTCCCACACGAGGCAGTTCGCCTTGTCCCGTATTGTCCAACTGAACACGGGAGATGAATGATTCATTCATATAATGTAAGCTTCCTGTATGATCCTGTGCTAAGTCCGTGATCTCAAGTCAAGGAATAGGTTAAGTAGCTCAAACGCACGATCTAGGTGTCCTATCTGACACGCAATGTGCCTTAGAACATCATAAACGAGAGATTCAACTGGGTTCCAGGTGAGTCTCTCGAAAGAACCAAATTAGTTTGCAAATCAGTGTATATTCGCTAATGTGTAGTCTAATTCGACGACGGACGGCCAGTAATAATTGCGGCGAAACCGAATTCTACGAACTTCACCTGAGTTTGTTCAGTGGTCGCAATTGGGCAGTGAACAATGTATCGAATTAGACGTAGGCAGACGGTATAGATAGGTAGGCCGTGATTCTATAAGAAATTAGTAGTAAATCGTGAGCAGAATAAAGGAAAAGCTTACGGCCAGGTTGAACCTTGAGCAGTTAGCAACACAGAATGGCACAGAGAAGGCATGGTGCCATCCGACGAACTAAACGGGAAAATGTTCAGTTCAAAGTGGGACAAATTTTCAACAACAAACCCAGAAATAATTGTGAACAAATGGACTATAGAAAAGCAGTTAGAATAGAGTAGACTTTGTATAAAATTGAATAGTTCAGTGTTGAAACTTGAGCAGTCACCAGAAGGAATAGGGGGACAAATAATTACGCCACGTGTTTAGCAGTTGCTGAAAGGTCTTCAAAATCCTGGTGCTCAGCTAGCTGCTGAGGAAATACCTGTCGATTTGGAATATGCAGAAGACATCGAACAGGAGAAGGAGGCACAGGTGTTTTTGGATTAACCGACCAACATCCCGTCCTATGGAGTACACATTACACCCACAAAGTGCTTATGGACAGCAGTCACTAAACGCGCCACTTACAATCCAAGGAGAGTCAATCGAAGTTGTGGAGCGTTTGACGTGTCTTAGGAGTCGTATTACTTCCGATTGTAATGTGACACTTGAGGTCAACAAAACTCTGATGATCGTGTCACCCTTTCCAATTCGAGTTATCTTTGGAGACAAATTGGTATGTCTTTCAATCTCAAGGGACGTATGTAGCAAGCTAGAGTACGAACTGCTTTGTTTTTCTCCTGTGGGACGCGGCCTCTTCGAACAGTGAAATTGAAACGCCTCCAGGTCCTCGGCCACTGTCTTCCGGGAACAATAGCTCTTGTCGGCTGATACGGGCAATTTTGCAACGAGTCATTAGGAAGGCAACTGTTCATTTGTGCATCGGAGACTTCAATCGTAGAATGTACCCAGTAGGAGAGGCTGCGTTGTCTAGGCCGTGTATTGCTTCTGCTAAACCATCGTTTTTCGAATAAATTGCTGTTTTTCGTACTAAATCCAGAGGGACACAAGCAGAAAGATGGTCAGTTATTGGCCCGGGAAAGGGGTGTGGAAGGGAGTACGAGAAGTCTGGGTGCCGTCGACGTGGCTCGCCCTGCAGGGTGGGGACCGCGTGATCCCCATTGCGCCTGGTTGGCGACGTGGCAAGATGTGGCGGAAAATCTACATCAATGACCCCTAATCTGATATTTGTGCGAGCAGTGTTCAGTGCTTGTAACAGCTCCATTTATTCTTGCGCTGCTCCTATGACCCCCGGGATATCATCTGGTATTTGGTGGATCATCCGCCCACATTTCATTGTTAACCATGAATGTATCAGCTAGGACTAGACCAGACGGACTTTCAATGGCGATATATTCAATCTGTTTGGAGTACTGACCAAGGAAGCCAGAAAAAAACAGACATTGTCTAAGTACAACTAAATTTGACATCCTTCATTTCGGTTGCTGGCAATACAAGTTTGATGTCATTGGTGTGAAAGAAATCACATCTGAGATCCCTGGTTTTATATGGAGGCATTTTTTTTAAAAAGGCCGCTTTGATCGTGAACTTGTGGGCCTTTGAACTGCGCTGTCAGTTCGGGGTTATCTCTCAAACTACCATGCACTGGTTGCACTATTTGTGCGAACCACTTAGCTAGTTCGTGTTTGGCTGGGGAAGGGGGGTTGTAAAGGCCGCTTGATCGTGAACTTGTGGGCCTTTGAACTGCGCTGTCAGTTCGGGGTTATCTCTCAAACTACCATGCACTGGTTGCACTATTTGTGCGAACCACTTAGCTAGTTCGTGTTTGGCTGGGGAAGGGGGGTTGTTAATTAAACTTTAGGAATAATCTCAGGTGAATGTTTGATTTTGTGCTGTTTAAGATTATCGTAGATTTGCCGCATCTGCAGCTGTATGCCAATCGACCAGGAGATGTTGAGAGTGGTTTTGACAATAAGCCAGCTTCCAATAGGATCTCTTTATTCTGAACCTTTCTATGGTATAGTTACTTTTGTCCATCAGGATTACACTCGATACATTGTCTGACTAGAGTACTGCAAGCTGATTATTCGTTTTCAATTTTTGTAGTTCATGCACGATATTTAGGCCAGTCTCCTGCTGATGTGTGGAACCCAACCCCAAGTCCTCTGTGACGTTTTGAAACCTGTCTTGTGCAATCTTGTCCTGCTAACTGAAAAGAGGGTAGGTAAACTATCGTCGTGAGGTCCATCTAATCCCATACCGGTGAACCCATTCTCGATCATCCTCACACAGATTAGTGCACTAGCCAGCAGCAAACCACACTGCACAATATAGTCGACTCAAAACGCACCTTCATTGTGGTCATGGACCACAGATCAAGCGACCAACGTATGCAACCTAACCATGTGCGCTATCCACAGTTGATCATTCTAAAGACATGGTATCCGAAAAACGAGTAATTCAATGAAATTAGCTCAAATCACAAGTGAAAGCCATAGCACGAGGTGATCCTCGTGCTATATCCGATCGATATCCGCTGGTGAGATTTGTGTCATGAGGTACTGAGCCGCGTATTTCAATATGCTCACGTTACTTAGTGTATGCGAATAATTCCATATTTTAATACAACTGTTGCGGGTCACGTGTGATTTCCCAGTCTAGCTCTGGTTTCCTTGACTACACCATCTAATGGGTAAAAATAAAGTTGGTTACCAGAATATCGTTTGAGTGTACTGATACGTGACTTTAGTGAATTCTTAGAAGACAAGCTAACGTGAATGATGCTCACAAGGCCGTAATCGTCAAAAGGTTCCTTCAATCTCGAATCCCAACACTACCACTAATCAAATAGGGTGACATGATATATGTGCATACATTCTTGGTGTCATTTTGGACAATTACCAGCATATTGAGCAGTTCATCAGCTGTCAAGAGTATCAGTTAGGCCGACAAAACCTGCCGTGACATCTGTAGAAGAAGGTATCACTGCTCATGTGTTTCAAACGACGTTCCCGTTGCTCAAAGTATATTTGACTTCCTAGTCCACAAAGGACCTTCCAATGTTCTGTTTCATCAAATCTTATGTGACAAAGGCTGAATCTTTATTAAAAATTTGATTGTGTTCGAAAATTTATTGGATGTGATGGAGTCTTATGGTCTGTTCAAAACAATTTCCACGTATCACGTGTGATCATAGTGCACTGGGTAGGCAAGACCATCACTTCAGGGCGGATTCTAACACCAACCTCCATTGTGTTCTACCTGGAAATTATATACTTTTCCCAAGGTTCAACGCACCGTTGGTGCGTCTAAAATAGAATAATTTTGCTATTTTTCTTGAAGGAAGCTACTACCCAGTTTGTTGTAAACTCTTCGATAGCCTACGACCGGTTCCGCCCCAAATGGAACTCATCTGGTAGGCGCATTTGCCTGATTCGTACGAGTCTTTTGTTAAAACCACAAGACGGAGTTTGACTTGTGCATATACAGGCCCAAATATGCAATAGAAACCAGATCATCGGGCTGATGTGAATGGCATTTGAGAACTGGAGAGTGAATACCCGATCAGCTATTGCGACAGACAAGTAGCGAGAGGGGCAATTAGTCTAAGAGTACACCAATTTATCGAATGCCTAGTAGGCCAGGCTGTGTTCTGTTCTGAAGCCTAGGCGAACGGGACCTGGTAATTAGGTGTACATATTTAACCCAGCGTAGAAATCTATACCATCAGAGTAATTCCAACAAAATAAAAGACGTATAAAAAAGAGACTGTACCCTTCAAATGACCGGATTATCCCTCGTCCTTCATGGCGGTTGACTTCATTAACAAACACCAGTGTAATATTGGAGTTGTTTGCGCGGCATTCACTTCTCACCAGCACCTCAGAATTCATACGGAGAAGACTACAGAGTGTGTAAGCAGCTACAACTTACATAATTAGAAAGCATTCAAATATTCATTTAGCCACACTGACAGGTCTGAGCAGACAGACAGACACGACGGACGTGTAGACAACAATGTTATGATCACGGTCCCTTTGACTACGGCTTGCAGCTTGACATCTGGAATTGTCTTGTGTTTACTGCCCTGGCTTATTGAATCGATTCTAACGTAAACTGGATTGACCGTCGGTTAGTCTTGCGCGGTTGTGAAAAGCAAATAAACACTGGAACTGAGTAAATCCGCTTAGGCACCCCTATGATTTAGCTGAACTAGTTGGTTATAGAATTCAGAGGTTCTGAGTACAATTCAGTAGTATACTTGTGGCACTGAAACGCAGTCTAGCTCAGCCTACGGCCTGCAACAAACTGATGTTTGCGTGGTCGTCCGGTAAGCTGACAGCAGTTCCAAATACGTTTTTTGATTACGCAGTGAAGATGCTTCGCTTGCCAGTGTATCGAGAAACACTTAATTCTGGCCTCAGGATTGTTTTATAACGGCACCCGATATAATTGGGAGCTGGTACAAAGTAGCACAGCTAGGATCCACAGCTATATGGGCTTGAGTGAACTTCAGATGGACTAAAATTAGTATAGTCCTTCTCTCATAAGCAGCAAATCAGATATGGCGCATATTATGGGACATCTAGTTACCCGAAACAAACATAGCATCATTTCCGCTTGCTATTCTGTGGCTACCAATGTGTACACCTGAAGCGATCTTATACCTGGCTGTATAGATCCGGCTATTCCCAGAGAAACTTCTACACGAGAGGTCTTATCAGGTATTCTCTAGTTGGTAAAATGGGATCGATAGAAAGACAATTTACTTGAGAGACTGGGATCTCCACTCGTATTTCCTTAGATCAGTATAGTTCCGGTGATTGACTCCCATTAGAAACTGTCTATATAGGCTTTCCAGAAAAGTATCACATATAGTTAAGTTGAGATTTCCGCTTGTCTGTTGGGACATATTAACCCACTGGTTCGTTCAACTATTTTGTGTGACATAAGGAGCGGATCTTCCTTAAGGCGGAGATCTATGTTTTGCCGAGCACACCTGTCACTGATCACGTATGTACTTCTTTCAAAGAGGCTCGCAGGTATAATTGGCATGAAACCTATGGATTAATACATTTAACTCTATGATCCACTGATCCCTGTTCCCACTAACATCCTCTTCTGATATATTTCACATTGAAATTGTTTTGTTCCATGTGTGATTGCTGTCAACATGGTGATACGTTGACCAAGAGAGTCAACATCAGAAGGGAGCCTGTAAACGCTGCTTTTATCTTACCATGAATTCAATAAAATCACGTGGGCCTGTGGCGTCTGTCAACATGTGATACGTTGACCAAGAGAGTCAACATCAGAAGGGAGCCTGTAAACGCTGCTTTTATCTTACCATGAATTCAATAAAATCACGTGGGCCTGTGGCGTCACTGAAGAAGGTTCAGAGGCCCAACATCCGTCTAAACAGGATGAGTCTAGGTGAAAGTGGCAACACCCAATTCACTACCTAAGACCATTTAGTTGACAAGATGCATGAAGTTTTTCAAGTAACACCAAACGAGTCCAAAGCTGCCCCACTACATGACCCGGCGATTGCAGAATCAATCACCATTCACCCTCCGACAACCAAACTTTGTGTACAAAAAAGTTGTTCCATTCTCCTCTGCTCCATCCGATTCGACCAGGTAAGTATTGACTCCAATTCATCATTTCTCGGTCCTCCGTCCCGCTTTTGCCTCTGCGGAGTTGTGTAGGGCACATGGTGTACGGTACCGTCTACGGCCGTCCCTCCAGCGATCATCGACACAGGTGGTTCTCTTCTCGCCGCTTGGGACTTCGCCCTCTGAATGGAGTTAACCTCTGTTGGAAAGACATGAAGCAGTCTGTTCCGCGGTAGGTATACTAATTTCGGAGGAATTTCGGAGATTTGGCTACCTCTGCTTTCCGCTATTGCCATCAGACGTTCTTGGTGATTGCTTTTGCCTACTCGTGAGTAGCTCAATTTATGCTCCATTCTCTCAGCTCATGTCATTTCTTTCCAAGTTGTATCGCAGAAGGGGACGGGCCGAAAGACAAATTGATACAAAGGCTGTTTTCTTCATTTCCCCCTGTCGTCGCGATTTATTAAAGTTGTTAATGTATAAAATAGACATAACGAATCCGCGCGTTTGGTATTTTCAGCGCTACTAAATAATTTCCATCAGTGTTGCGACGGCATCAGAAGAAAAACATTTTAAGGTTCTTTGAAAAGCCTCCAATTTCATGGGTCTTAAATCATTCCTCTTTAATCTATTTGAGGGAGAAGTAACAATTTCCTTCTATTTCTGCCATCTCGATGGAGGTGCTATGGACACAATATCATCTGAAAGAGTTCGCTCACAGTTGATGGCGGCAAATCCGAGAACATATTGCGCACCAAACTGATGGGATATAAATCAGTGGAAATTGGTCAGACTTCACCTAGAATGGTGCATGATCCGGACAAAGGGCTACTTTCTGAATATTGCAAATTCCATTTATTTCATCGTTTTCATGTTGTGGGCCTACTCAACCGCACACCGATGATGTTTCACGATTGCTGACGAAACTTTTGCAAACGTATTACCAAACTCGGTGAACAGATCAAGAGTCTGCTGATCTGTAAACTACATAACCTGTAGGTCAATTGCCTTCAAGCTCAGTCTTTTCGATGGAAACTGGCCAAGATAATTTTTTTTGTGAGTGACCAGTGTTGTGTATGTGGTCAGCTTAAAAATCTGCCTCGATTTAACGATTCCAAGGTTGTCCAACCAGCAGCTCAGTAAATGCATACTAAGGCATACCAAGTGCCGCTTAGTGGACCTGTGGAAAATGAAATGGAGGTCATGTCCTTCAACAATAAGAATTCGCGGGATATAGAACTAGTTAAGATCAGTCACCTTTAGTTTCTGTTGACCAATTCAAGCAACAGACACGACATCTAGACCTCCTCTCGTTCACTGTCCGGTGTTATTCCTTCGGTTTAACATGGAGCATGAGACATTCAACCGATTGCCTCCGCGGCTCAGCGGAAATCACTTGTGATATTACTGAAATATACTCATTTGCATACCGATTCGGCTATCATGGAAAACTCAAGTAGAATCTAAGTAAATCTCCCGCAACTGAATGTGCTTCACCAGGCCGTCCCGTGTTTCATTTGCACGATATTCAAGGTAGCGCGATACATTGTATAGACGTAATACGCTACTCACAAGGTTGCTGAAAACTTATCGACAGTCAACAACCGCTTTTGTTCTTCTTGGAGCTCATCGGGCAGGCGCACCCCCAAAACGATAGGTGTGAGCAGCACGATTTTAACATCAAGCAAAGTATATGTATTTGTTGTATCGTGGGTGGCCGTCTATTGGTTACGCCTGCACTGAGCCTACCAAACTACGCGATAAGGAGAAGACAGAGGACTCGGGACACGGCTGTATTGTCAGGACAAAACACACAAAGCTTCTGCGTAAATAGATAGGATGACTAAATGGTCAAATACGGTCGTTGTATTGTTCGTTCTGTACAGCCGATGGCGGTGTTCCGGTCGTGAACAATTTCGGGTCCACTCCACTGATCTCATGTTGCTAAGCCGTGCTTGGTGAGCTCCGTCAACGCAACTGCTTTCCGAACGTGTCGTACCGATGATGACGTTGGGGATGCGTCACTCTCTGCACATGTACCTTTTCCATGTCTGGGCGCGTCCTGACAGTATTGAATCAGGTAGTGTCCGAAGAGGAAGCCTCTCACTGGAGATCTTGGGATTTTCTCCTGGAGGGGGGGGGCTGAGGACAAGTGAGATCTGGACCTATCGGCCATTCTGGTGTTTCATATATGTGGCATCGTTTGCATTTTATGTCCATCGGACAAGTTTTGCACTAAAATGCAAGTTTGCTGTATTGAGTCTGATAAACTTCAGCGCCAGCATACACGCCGATTACCAGGCAGCCTTTGCAACCGAGGTCACCGAGTACTCATGTCGATCACAAAACCTTCATCTGTCGTTTGAACGCATGACTATCTTCAGGTTCGTTCCCACCAAAGTTGTTTTTCTCTAAGGCTGTGAGGCATTCGTGGAACCAGCGTCGCCTGCCTGAACTACGCAGCTACCAACAACAGCTTGGACGAATCTTCTCGGATATGAACCAAACCGATCGACCAAAACGAGAAGAAGAGTAAGAAATATGGATCGCAGTGGAGTCGACATTTAAAATCAAACTGACACTGAACTCAGGTTAGATGTCAAAGTAGTCCGTAGGCCCGATTCAAGAGAGGAAATTCTCACTTTGCAAACTACCAGCCAGAACTAATGCGCGTCCCCCAATTGATATGCACATCCAAATGGACTGTAAGCTTCTACCCAAATTTGAACAGATATCTGGTCCTTTACATTACTTCACTGTCTCACTGAAGTCCATCTACAACCTTGTCATACTGGACAACATGTATCTTCAAATTATGGGGTATGAAACATACCAGTCTTGTTCCAATCGATCGGCCTAACTCAGGTCATTTTCTCTCGTCTTAACTTTTGTTCTAACTGCACTTTCCCACTTAAGATTTCAAGGCAGCAACTCGGTGTGAAGCAACAGGAAGCCATGAAGACTAACAAACTTTTACGCCTTGTTGCTGCTCGTAAGTGTCCCGGGAGCTACGAAAATCAGTTCGTGAGAACTGAGGGGACTTGCTACACAGGTGTCCTCGATCGCAAGTCGACGCCTTGGTTCAATGGATGACTGTCTAAAGGATAAGACCTAAAGGCATGAGTCCTTGAAAAGGCAGCGAGAGCTACGATAAACCACGGCAGCATTTTTGGCGACAGATATTAAACCACTTCACTCAAACCCCGCCGACTCAATTTAGCAACGAAGCTGGTCAATGTAGGTATCGAGACTCAGCACGTATCGTTATTGAAAGGCTCGAAAAGGAATGTTCGGGCAGGCGGTACGACGGAGAACTCTACAGCAACCTGTTTTGCAACGATCTTTTGAGGCATCTAAGGGTGTAATATGGGCTGGGCCGAAATAAATTGGACCAAAGTGAACAAGGCCAAGAGTCCTGTCTAATTGAGAGCAAGTCACACTACTGATCAGCCGCTCGTGGCCAGACGGTTAAGCGTCCAACCACTAACCAGAAGATCACGACTTCGAAAAGCTCCAGATTTCATGAGATGATGCAAACTCCATTGAAAATTACAAATTTTTCAAATCGCCATCAAATATACACAAACCTTCCGGCTGTAACACCGTTTTGGTGCGTGGCTGCCTCGCTACCCGGAAGAAGGATGAGGGATAAGAAACTGGCAGACTGCCCAAGCCTAAACTTGAGCAGAAGGATACCGGGGTTGAGTTAGATCCACGGACCCTCCCGTTAGTTAGTTCACATCTAGACCACTGAACTCTCTCAAGCTCTACTAAGCTTTCGAGTTCGACTACTTGAAATGAGACGCGAAGGTCTCTGCACTTGAGTTACGATAACATGGTTCATTATGCGAAGATTTTTTCGGAATGGTTCCCTTATAAATCAGCCTAAATTGGGGTGATCCGGCCTTGAACGATGTTTTGCCGCCAGGTACTCCAACGTCAGCGTATGCGACCCACTTGTGACTTGGTAACATCGATGGTCTACGAGAGAAAGTTCACTGAAAAACACTGCTTGCAATCTACCTTCCGTATAGATAAGTTAACATTGATTTGCCAGTGAATGTCGACCATTTGAGTTTATGGCTAATGGGACTTTAAAACTCTAGAGCAAGTGTTCTTGAACCTTAGCTAGACAAATGAAAAATGGATGAAAGCTATGTTGACAGAGTGAGAGGGGATATACAGGTGTTTCATTTATACTCCCCAGAGGATGAGAAACCTCACCACTTGGAAATATCTGTCTCCCGGGTGCAAGGAGATGATAGACAGTGGGGCCAACTTACACGCAAATAGGTTGCTATGTCTGGTTAGTTGTTACCTGGTGATCTGATAAGAACTTTCTCTTTAAATGACAACCTCTCAGAATTTCATCACCCAACTACAAGTGTGAAACAGCTTTTATCAATTTTAGGGCGGTTCTTTTGTGATCCGTTTATTATTGCACACTTTGAAGTTCCACTTGTCGATCTTTCGTGCGTGCAGCTACTGTGAAGTAATCGCAGTGGCTAGTTTAGGAACTGGACTACTGAACTGCCGCTCGGTCACCCACCAACGATGTAAAAAAAATCTATGGTATTATGACATGCTCTAGTGCAAACTTTCGTTTAGTAGCGAAATACACTCATTTGCATGCCAAGTTGGTCTTGAAACCAGCTGAATCTCTTGGTTATGATGTTTTCAGGCAACTGAATGTACTGCATCAGGCCGCCTCATGTTTCAGCTGGCGTTATATTCAAGATATCATGATACGTTGTATAGACGTAATACACTACTCAAAAGGTTGTTGTCGAAGAGTACTTAGCCAACCGCTGAGTGGTGTGCTAAGTCCATTTCCATTCATGTTCACAGGAATAACCTGCCGATCGGCTGACAAAACTAGCAAATTGTAGTAATCATCGTTTTTGCTATACAAGAGGCGAGAGTTACTGGCACGGTGCGCCCAGACAGAAGAAAAAGTTCATGTGCAGAGAGTGACGCATCCCAAAGGTCACCATCGGTTCGACACGTCCGGGAAGTAGGTGAGTAGGCGGCCCCCACGAAACACGGCTCCCACCAGACACGGTCTAGCAACACACGACCTGAGAGCGTTCACGACCGAACCACCACCATTGGCTGTACGGAGCTAACAAATGAACGACCATATTTGGCCAATTAGTCATCCTATATATTTACGCAGACGCTCTGTATGTTTTGTCCTGGCAATACAGCCGTGTCCCCAGTTCTCTGTCTTCTCCCTATCGCGTAGTCTGGCAGGCTCAGTGCAGGCGTAACCCCATAGCTCGGCCACCGCACAACACACCACTGGCAGACGGGTGTTCACAATGGCAATTTCATTCGAACAGATGCAGTCTCTCCTCAGACAGCAGCAGCAACAGTTTGAGCTGGCGCAATTGAAGCTCATCGAAGCACTCACTGAAAAGTTGTCGCTTCAGAAGCCGATTAGCCAGACTATTGAGCCGTCCACTTCGGTGATCGACACGATGCTCAACGCGATCCCCGAATTTCAGTTCGATCCGATCTCATGCATTACTTTTGATTCTTGGTTCAACAAACATGAAGACTTTTTCAGACTGCATCTGGGAAGCAGAGAAGATTCTTGGAGAACAAGACAGTTGGTCAGGAAAATTGGAGTGGCCGAACATGAACGCTTTACGAACCATATTTTGCCACGAAAACCAAGTGACCTGAATTTCGATGAAACCGTTGCTGTTTTATCGTCAAACTTCAGAGAACAGGCCTCTTTGTTCAACCCTGGTTTTCACTGTATGAATTTGAGCAAGACTGCTTCTGAAGACTGGGTTACATACGCCGGCAAAGTCAACAAGGAGTGTGAATGTTTCAACCTCCGAAGTATGACAGAGGATGAGTTCAAGTGTCTTATATTTGTGTGCGGGTTGACGTCTCCTGAAGACACAGACATAAGAACAAGAATCCTCAGCAAGATTGAGCAAAACCCAGACGTCACATTACAGAATATTACGTCGGAATGCCAGCGCCTGATGAATCTGAAGCGTGATGCCGTCATGATACAAGAAAGTGATCCCAGCAATACTGTTCAGGCGATTCGGAAGCATACTGTCCCTCAGGGTGACAAGAAACCACCCTCGGCATACTGGAAATGTGGTGAGTGGCATTTCGTCAATTTTTGTCCGCTCAGAAGACACCGCTGCAGCAGGTGCTCCCGTATGGGACACAAAGAAGATCGGTGTCATGGCGAGAGAGGGCAAGCACCCAGGAGGCATTCTCGAACTAGAACTTCCAATTCCAAGCTTCCGAAAGCTCGCGTTGGTCTGGTCGCTCATCAAAGCCCACACGCAAACAGGAGGAAATACGTATCGCTGCGTATTAACAGCAAACCTGTTCGTCTCCAGCTGGACACGGCATCAGAAATTACGATCATTTCAAAAAGAACTTGGAAATTTATTGGCAGCCTTACATTAACCAGGACCAAACAAGTTGAACGCACTGCATCAGGAAGTTTACTGAAACTCTCTGGTGAGTTCAAATGTTCCATGACTCTTGATGGTATCAATGTAAGTGGCATTTGTCATGTGTCCGATCGTCCTGGATCAGATTTGTTAGGATTAGATTGGATTGACAAGTTAAACCTTTCGGACAGGCCACTGAATACTATCTGTTACAAGACACAGGCGACGAAAGCGAACATATGCAAAAAGGTGCCTGACTCGTTTTGGAACAGGAACTCAGAAGGTTGCAGCCCGTGCACTAAGCCCTTTTCGTACCACCCTCAATCAAATGGCCAAGCCGGGAGATTTGTGGATACTTTTCAACGAGCATTGTTGAAATCTCGAGGAGAGGGACCAACGTAAGATCTATCTCCAAAAGGAGGGAATGTCAGGGCACGCCCAGACAGAAGAAAAAGTACACGTGCAGCGTGTGACGCATCCCCAAAGTCACCATCGTTTCGACACGTCCGGAAAGTAGGTGAGTCGGCGGCTCTCACCAAACGGCTTAGAAACTCACAACCAGCGTAGTGGGCCTGAGAATGTTCACGACCGGAACACCACCATTGGCTGTACGGAGCGAACAAGTGAACGACCATATTTGGCCAAGTAGTCATCCTATATATTAACGCAGACGCTCTGCACGTTTTGTCCTGACAATAAAGCCGTGTCCGCAGTTCTCTGTCTCCTCCCTATCGCGCAGTCCGGCAGGCGCAGTGCAGGCGTAACCCAGTAGCTCGGCCACCGCGCACAACACAACAGGATTCGGTTTGGAAATCATATCCCATGAAATCCAGAGTGATGGAATTTTCGCGTGCAACTGACCATTCTGGGGATGACCACATCTTCCGTAGTCAAGGTAGCTGCCGGTACCTTCAGTCTACATACCTGAAGTGCCAGGACTTTATTTTCATATTTGATCTCAGCGGGTTACAGCTGCTCCTTAACGATGGTAAACTCATATCACCTCCCAGCCAACAAAAAATTGTTTTTCAGATGGACCGATTAACGCATCGTCATACCTGCTGGTTCACCGATCAGTTGTATCTGACTTCTGACTCGCTCCAGTGCCTAGTGCCGGAAAAAAAAGAAGGCAGCACAACAGCTATATTCTGAACAAGCGAGTGCGAGAGCGTAAGTGCGTGCGAGTGTGAAAATACAACGGTCTCAAGGTAGTTATTGGAGGGACACTGTCTGACTTGGTTCAGTGCTGATGCACGCGGTCTGGCCTTGTTACGAGGCTGCTACGTGCTACATATTGTCTGACCTTGATCAACGCCGACTCACGCTGTCTGGGTTTGATATAAGGCTGTGAAGTGCTGCATGTTGGGGGGGTGTGTTGCCTGGTCAGCATCTAGGGGAGCTGAGGGTCTCAGTAGAATTCGGGCATTCAGTGGTTGCTTTCAGTAATCTGACCTTCCTGATAAGTATGATGTAGTTTTCTTGAGGTTGCAATAACTTGCCTACCGAACTGGCCTGTACTGATGGATACCAGCACAGCATCTGCAGGGTTCATCCTACCGTGTTGTACAACTGATGCAGGTATAAGAAACGTCTTCCATTGCTCCTTGTTCAAGGTTTGGACTACTCCGGTATTTTTACACCAGCCAATCTTGTCTCGCCATCAAGTTTTTGAGCCGAAGTCTGTTCCTAATCATCCACTTTTTTGGGTGTGTCTGTTATACCAGTATCTCGAATTGTATGTCGTTGTGGAATGAATAGTCAAAGTTACCCTCTTGCCTCTTCATCTGGCATATAGAGCAGAACTCGTTAGAGAAAACGTACTCTCACTGACTCTTCGCACCTTTCTGCATTGTTGTCTCTTGAACCCCCCCTGCCCCACGTCATAGTTAGTTTTCGGCTACACGCAGGCCCCCAGGTCAGGTGGAGGGAAGGGTTGGTCATGCCTGAGACCGGAGGCGAACCGTGCGCCCCAGTATAATACACCTAATTTGTCTATTAGATTGACTTTAGACGTACACCGTCGATATTCTGTAAATTTATTTACATGTTACCTAACGTTGGATTGATTTGTGAGATACTGTACTAGTTCTTCGCACCTGCATTGTTGTCTCTTGAACCCCCCCTGCCCCACGTCATAGTTAGTTTTCGGCTACACGCAGGCCCCCAGGTCAGGTGGAGGGAAGGGTTGGTCATGCCTGAGACCGGAGGCGAACCGTGCGCCCCAGTATAATACACCTAATTTGTCTATTAGATTGACTTTAGACGTACACCGTCGATATTCTGTAAATTTATTTACATGTTACCTAACGTTGGATTGATTTGTGAGATACTGTACTAGTTATCCAAGTGGAAAGCACCATATTGATGACACCCGCGATCTCGTGAGCTACTCATTTCACTGTCTTACTCATCATGCTACCTGACAAGATATGCCGGACACATTCTCGGTCTTGTCCCAGCCGATGGTGCTAGTGATGAACGGAAGTTGGTACGATCTGTGTAAAGGAGACTTCTTTAGGGGCTCCTTTGGAAAAATACTGAGTGAAGTGCATTTAATGAATTGTTGATGAGTTCCCGTTGTGGACCACAGTCGCCTAATGTCTTCTTATTACCGTGAACCCCTGATAGCCTGATGCGCTTGACCGAACCAGAGAAAGTCAACGAAAGTGCGAGTCAGCTGCTCTATTGATTACTGTCGCGTACAAGCGGTCAAGGGCGAGTGAAGAACAACCAATGAAATCTGTCTCAACGGAAAACGGTTTTTCCATTGGCAGTTATGTAGTCCCGTTACGTTCGGAGCCGGTTCTCCCAATAGTTTCTTTAGATTAATCTGGTATATACGAAAATATACCCACAGTCAACTGACCGCACCAGTTGTCTTCCTCCCGTGCTGCCCAGTCATCAAAATATGATTTCAAATTTTCGACTTCTTTTCGAGTGTTACCGGGTAGTTGCAACAGAAACCCGCTTCTTGGAAAGGTAGAGGTCTATCGTGCTCAGATTATCTATCGGGCGTGAGATGGATTCCTGCAATCCTATTCCAACCCTTATCTGGATTCAAGTGTGTTCATTTAAGGGGAGGTCGAAGGCTGAGATGTCGGAATGCGATGTTCCAGAACCTTGGGAGCGGACACGAAGACGTTTGGAAATCGAAACAGTTTAAACCGAAGAAGCCAGGTGCACACTACAGAATCGGCAACCTTAAATCCAGTTGAGGATAAATTATGGCCTCTGAAATATAACCGATCTTGGATAACGGCTCGGTTGTCTTTATTTGTGGTCTACCCTTCTTGAGGCGGCTGGCCCCATCGGTCATGTAACACACTTCGAATTTTGATAGCACGCGGTACTACTGGACTAAATCGAAGTCGCTTCGTAAACCTCGGCAAAAGACCTCAAAAACAGATAACCAGTGACGCTCTTAAACATTCACTTCAGCAACCATTCTAGAGCGCCACACA